GCTGGAACTCCCAGAATCGCAACCCCCAAAACTAAGTGATGTTGAAATGACTATTGGAAAGTTGATTGCAGATAATCTGGTTGTGGATGGTGCCACTCTGCAGATGGGTAAGTAAATTTGTGTTTATATTTACCTTTTACGTATGTATGATGAATTTTTCTAAGTTATAAAAGTTGTCAGATAGTTATGGAATTTTCTAGAATAAAATGTATCGGGCATTAGAGTTGCTTTGATGGAAAACTTGCATTTTTTTTTGTGTGTAATTATAAACTTTATACTCGAGTAATGAAGCACATTATGCTAATATAATAATAAGTTGGCAAACACTGACTTATGATAACTTTATTGTGCTTATAATTCATTGTTTGCCAACTTATTATTATTAATGAGTGCTTTTTCAATTGGTTTCGTATGGAGATGACTTATCTTTTTGGAGATAGGTTAAGATAACTTCTTTTCTTTACCGTTATAGTTTCTTTTAATTTTAAGTTTTTATTGCCTTGCTTGTACCATGTACATAGCTTATTCATCCCTAAATCCCAATCCAATTTACTGCTCTTGTACCTCTATTTAGTAAATACTATACATGTACTTTCTTTAGTACTTTGAAAATAATCCTCAAAGCATTCAAACTGCTTCACTATTTCTTTTTAGCTCTCTCTCCTTCTTTTTAAAAAAGTTGAAGCTTCAATTTATTTCTTGTTAAGTACCATTCCGAAGATCTAATAATTTCTTCCAAATCTTCTGCTGCCACTAACAAAGCTGTATCACTTGTGAACTCTTTATTATGTTATTTTTTTTCTTTGTTCTTTCTTTTAACAATTGATGATCTAATTAATACATTTTCTCTTGTATTCTCTTCTTCAAATACTTTTTTTGCTACCAGCTCTCATCCTTCCCTTACATGCTTCTAGTTTGTGCTCATCCTCTACAAGTTTTTTAACTAACCTACACTACTATTTCTCTTTCCAACTTGTTTCCTCTTCTGTCACAATCAACTATCAATTTTAATATTACAATCATTGTTCTAGTTATTTACCTTTCCACCCATTGCTGATGTGAAACATAGTTTTTAACCATTTACATTCAGTGGTGCCCCCATCACCAAACACTACTAATTATGTATAACTAAGTGATGTTTATCTGGATCAGACTTATTTAAATTTTTATCTTTACTGCAGGTATTGGTTCCATTCCGGATGCTGTTCTGGCCAGCTTAAAAGGTCACAAAGACCTGGGAGTTCATTCTGAAATGTTTAGCGATGGTGTTGTAGACTTGGTAGAATCAGGCTGTATTACTAACCACCAAAAGAAGATCGAACCAGGGAAAATTGTGGGTAGCTTAACATTCGGCACTCGACGATTATATGATTTCATGGATAATAATCCGTTCGTTAGTAAGTCAGATTTATGTTTTTTAAAATTAAGAAAACTACGTTAATAAAATAATTTCTTGTGTATTAATCCTTCCTTGATGGGTTGCTCATTTTACAGAGTTGTATTATAACTATGAATTTACAAGTTGTTTCTTCTAGAATTTTGGCAAGCTTTTAGTGAACCTCACAGTTCTGTCATGCACGAAAAAATCAGAATTTTTAATAAAGTATTATAGTAAAGATTCATCTGTATATTTCTAAAAGCTTTATTAAGTAAATCTGAATTCAGAGTGATTTTCATCCTAAGAATAAAATTACTTCTTCTTTCTCCTTAAAGTCCAGTCCCATTTATCCCGTCAGCCGTGGGTCTAAGCATAGCAAGGTGGCCGTATTACCGGGTGTCACTTGTATGGGGGTCAACTCTGGGATCAGACTGAGGCCTCATGGGCACAGTACATTCCCCTACAACTTGCCCATAATACTCACTTTTCTATGTTCCTGTTTGATACAAAATGTTGTAATAACTACTTTTTGCATTTCTTGTCTAAAAAATGAAATTCTCTACTGTATTTTTGATTAACAGATAAATGCAAAATTTAGGATGACGATGAGCTTCCTGACTTTTCCTTGCACTACACAGTATCAGAGGCCAAGACATGGCACTGTTGTTTATGTTGTGACACCTGGTGGTAATGATACTCAAATCATGAAACAACAACTTTCTGCCATTTCAGTCAACAGAACAGAGACAATTGATTTGGATGAGAAAGCAAAGCTCTACTTATTGCAAAATGGAGGGAAAGGTGACAAAACTCGTTAGGAATGTGCAAATTTTCCCCTTTGAACAAATCTTTTGTTTACAAGAAGTCCAAAGAGACACCAAACTACAATGTTACAAATGACAAAGTTTAAAGGGGTGTGAAAACATAGTGTTTGTTTGATCATGTATATGTGATTGTGTGATCATTGGTGCAGAATGAGGTGTAAAGCATTGGGTAGGATTAGTG